TTCTTGAATTTCCCACGTATACCAAGCCCATCCCTAAATCCTTCTACAATGTTTAATGGCATGTATTGGTGAAGATCTGAGGTCGGAGGGGGGCAGAAAAATTTTTGTGCAAAGCTTCTCCCAGATTTCAGGGAAATCTCTTGAAAGTTGAGCATATTGGCAGCCCCTTTCATCATGGACACCCCGACACCTCGAAAGTCAAAGAAATGCATCCAGTTTTCATTCTAGGATAGTTTGGAGGCCAAAATCGTGGGAAAAGTATGTGCTAGAAGAATTCAACCGAAATTCAGGCGGAGCAATTCAACGTTGCCGATCAGGCCCTTAGTCTTACTAATAGTATGCATGCTAGGCATCGATTGATTTCCAACTGGGAGATGTATGTAGTATGGATCCCGGCTGTTATTTGATTTTTTTTTTTTTTTTTTTTGAACAAGTAGTTGATCACTGGGTCTGCACTTGGCGTTTGTGGGGACAGGCATCCTTCCTACCCCTTGTGGTGGACCTTTGGCACCCGATTTAGATGAAACCATATTCTCTTGGGCCTGAAAGGGAAGAGAGGGTGGTTCCATGTCCAGCAATCATCTCGATAGTGCCGACGGAGAGTATTTTCAACCACAGAGCCACCAAATCCGGTTAATTCCGAACACAAATTCCCACGGTTCGACGGCATTCGAAAGGTTGTGCACTGTAGTTGGCTAACGTTTCAGCTTCATTTTTCTCGTTTAGAATCCTCCGTTACATTGTCTATTGTTTGGCGCGGTCCTGTTCAGCCACCCGTGAATATGCATTTATTAATCAACGTGCGAGGTACTGTAATCGTTGGTAAACCTTGCGTTTTGAGGGCTCAGTATCCGTACCTCCCTGATCACGTTGAGTGTATTGCAAGATGGGGTAGAGCACGGTTGATCGGGAGTGACCATTGACGCTTGTGTCCTGATCGGGACAGAGGGTGGTGGCGATCTAAAATGCCTCTCATGGTTAGGTCCTGTTCTGCTCCAGATCTTGATTTTACCTAGACAGTACTACTTACCCAAGAATCCTGCGCGAGCATCGGATCTAAAGTGATGGGATCACTCGACAAGAAAGCTTTGGCAATATCTCGCCCATTTGTTATCCGTTTCGCATGTTCCAGGGCTCAAATTATGCGCAATTGGATTCCCAAATGCTCCGCATACTATATTACCGTCTAATCGGAAAGAAAAAGGGCCGCACTGACCGAGGCACCCCTCGTCATTGCCTGCTTCTTCTTGGCGCTCTACGTGAATGTTTTATTTCAGCCTATGCGACTTTCTTTCAAAAAAAAATACACTGACCTTTGCACCAACGTCTTCCATCATGACGTCGTCGCGGTCAGACGCCGAGCCATCCTCTGCGTCAGTAGGCATGTCCTGCAATGGCGGTCTGAACTGCCAGTTCCCGGCCCGTCAACTGGGTGATCAGCTCGGACCAGACTGTCGCGACTACTGGGCTGCGATCACGCCCGCTTTCTTGACGCTGGCGGACGGCCTCTTCTGGATACTCCAAGGCCCAGCGATGTCGCTCGGCACGTTTGGCGGCATTTTTCTTCTCACGTCGTGCCGTTCGCTGATCAAGGATGCGTCAGTACCAGGTCAAGAGGAAAAAATGACCCGTACCGCTTTGTCCTTTGTAGCATCCGCCTTGATGCATCTTCAGTAAAAAGGAGGATAAGAAAGCGACAATATGTTCTTACCGTCTGTGCTTGAGGCTGGGCTTGTTCTCTGGCCTTTCCTTTGCCGCTGGAGCTTTTCTGTAAAACGGTCAACGTAAGTAAAGATGATAAAATCAGCACTGACCTTGCTCGTCGTCCCGTTCTTGTATGCGGTGACCTCGTCCTCCTCTTCGTACTCGCTCCCCTCCTCGGTCGAAGCCTATAGCATCGTGAGCGCGCACGAGGAAACATAGGAAATTGACACCGACTCTTTCCCTTTCTTTCCCTTTCCCGTTCCCCTTGCTCTTGCCCGCCTGCGCCTATACAACTTGTTAGCGTGTGCAGGAGATGGGATGAAATTAGCATCAACCTTCTCGCCCCTGAAGGTTGTGTCCTCGTCGTCCTCGGCTGGCTCGCTGGAAGACGACATTACCTATGGAATCGTGAGGACAAGTACACTGGATGGAACAAGCACCAACAGTCTTCTTTACGCGGACTTTGGCCCTCTTACGGGGCACGTCCGACTCGTCACTGGACTCCAGTTCTTTGACCTCGGGCGCTGTACGATTTCTTTAGCTAATTCTGGAATTGGAATGGAAAAAGACTCACCCATTCCGTCCGCGAGTCCGCTCACTCCTCCTTTCTCGCCGCTGGGCACTGGGCGGTTGCTTCAATTCATGGTTCAATCAAAAAAGAAAAAAGGACTGACCAAGGTCATCTCCGATGCTCATATCAACATCACCTTCTTCCCCGGCGCTGGATTCTGTATGATTGTCTGAATTTATGTTTCAATCGAAAATGAGGAAAGGACTGACCGAGGGTGTCCTCGGCGCCCATGGTGACATCACCGCCTTCCCCTGCATTGAACTCTGTACGATTGCTTGAATTCATATTTTAATCGAAAATTTAAGAAGGACTGACTGAGGTTGTCCTCGGTGCACTCAGCAGTGGCGTGCGCTGGGACGAGTATTGTCTCAGCGCATGCTTCATGGAAAAGAAAAAGGTAAAGGACTGACCAATGTCATCCCCACCGCCAGCTCCTTCTTCATTGGGCGTGATGATTCAGTTTACGGTCTAATCGGGAAAAGCCTGCACTAACCGAGGCGCCCTTCGTCGCAACCTGCTTCTTCTTGGGGCTCTGCGCGATTGTTTTATTTCAGCTTATGCGATTTTCTCTCAAAAAACAACACTGACCCTTTGCACCAACGTCTTTCATCACCACGTCGTCGCGGTCAGACGTCAAACTGTCCTCCTCCGAGTCGAGCACGAAATCGGGCGAAGGGACCCTTGGTCGGCCCTTGCCGCTCGTAACGATGTACCCCGGTAGACGCCGCGAACCTGCAGGCTGCAAAATCTATTAGTTTATCGTGCGTGTTTTCTTTTTCTGTTTGCAACTTACCGCTCGCAGATCACGAACATTTGGGCCCACCGGCGGTTCCCAGCCAGCGTCGTCAGAGTCAGAGGTTGGTACGACCTCGGTGCTTGTAAAAAAAAAGAGCACAAGCGCGATGAGCCGAAGGAGAATTGAAACACAATAATATATCATACTGGAAAATAAATTGTTAGTTTAGAACAAACAAGCTGGCTATGTCCTACCCGAAGAGACATAGTGAAGAGGCAAGAAAGAGGAAGAAGAATACCAGTGGGAATCGGCGCGTCACGGCCAGGAATACGGAGTTTGCCATGAATTTGGCCGGACCATCCCCCGCGAATCCGACCGTCCGACGCAATTTATCCCGAAATCGAGACGCAAAAGCGCGTCTGTCCTCAATAAATGTCGCGCGCGCGGTTCTTTTTGGCCCGGGCGAGAGCACCGATAACGAGGGCTGTCAATCGGGGACCCTCATTGAATTTTTTGGCACGAAACTTCCCGAGTGTAGAGTGAGAAGCCATTGTTGGCTAGCAAGTTTCCCGAAAGAGGTGATGGACGTGCGTTTATGTGTCCGACAACGTCGAAACGTCGGGATACCGGCACGAGGAACGTCGACGAGACCCGAAAAAGTCGAAAGAAGCGAGATTGTCGATAGATCCACATAATATTCCCGTTCATCCACAGTTCCTCTGATTAATTGTACGGAGAGGAGGCGCATAGTCGCCAGGGACCCAAGTAACGATTCTGGATCCATCACGTCAAAGTTTCTTCTTCATATCGCCGAAACTTCGTAGAGAGACGCGGTCGGAGTGTTCGATTAGGATCGCGCGAACGAAATCGCGTTCAAGGACATGTTGGTTGCTGACGAGGTGGCGGACTCGGAAATAAGCACAACCACATAAACGTGGCACACTCACCAGAATCAGCCAGCGGGTGTAAGACGCGTCCATCTCGCATATATACCTGGGAGATTCCGACCCCAAAGCTACCGATTGCTACCGACCGCACGCGACGCGTGAAAGACGTGGAATTTTGGAGCTCAATAACACCCCAACTTGTCCGCACCGCATTTCGATGCGGAACGAGGAACGAGTCGGATATACGAGCCCATTGTCTGAGAAGACAGTCGTGGTTCAACGTTGCGCTACTGGAAACAACACGTGGTGACCAAATAGTCCCCAACAGTAGTCCCCAACAGTAACGAGCGTCCCGTCGAGTGTGGATGACGCGGACGAGCGAACCGGGACATATCCACCCCCTCTCTTGAAGTGCCGCCGCACCGTGCACGACCGAACACCCATGGCCGAGACTCCCGTCTTGCGCAGCTCGTTGCAATTGATAGCCAGCACACCCGAGCGGAGATAGCAACTAATGTGTCCGAGCACATTCAGCAGTCGCTCCGTGCGCGCCATCGTCCAGACCTCGAGTGTAGCCCTGTCGCGCCACGTTCATCTGGAAGGATGGGAATCTTGCGCCGCAGAGTCCACAATTTCATTTCGCCCTGAATGTATTCCTTTACTTAAAATAATATTCCTTCTGTCGTTCGCGAGGCTCTTTTTTTTTTTTTTTCGCGAGGCTCTTATCAAGGACCTTGAGACGTGGGACAGTATGGAACTCAAGCCCACCGTTCACACCGCTTGCAAGTGGTTCGAAGCCGCTTCCCGTGGCTTGCGAGCGGTTCTGAGCCCCTCTGCTACGGCTTCGAGGCACTCCAATGTCGTTCCAAGGTCACATGCTGAACCAAGCCGTTGCATGCTCAGGCTGACTGGCTTTTTTCCGACATACGGTACTACTCTGCCAAGAATCCTGCACGAGCATCGGGTCCAAACTGATAGGATCACTCGACGAGAATGTTCTGTCCATAACTCGCCCATTTGTTATCCGTTTCGCATGTTCCGCACATCAATCGACGCGGAATCTTTACCCCTCACTCATGCGCTCACTGGCGTGAGCCCTCGCGCCCCCTTAACTCAGTGGTAGAGTGTTGCACTTGTATTTCTGGGTGCTTTGTCATCTGGAAGCTTCATGCATTGGTCAGTCGTTCAATCCGGCTAGGAGGCAGTTTTTTGTTTTTACGTCAGTTGCCTTGAATGCTTATGCAGTTTTTTGCCCAAATTGAACTCAGTGGGAGAGTGTTGCACTTGTATTTCTGGATGATTTGTCATTTGGAGACTTTATGCATTGGTCAGTCGTTCAATCCGGCTAGGAGGCAGTTTTTTATGTTTTTACGTCAGTTGCCTTGAATGCTTATGCAGTGGTCGGTCGTTCAATCCGCCAAGCAGGCAGTTTTTTTGTTTTTAGCTCAGTTGCCTTGAATGCTTATGCAGTTTTTTGTCCAAATTGAACTCAGTGGTAGAGTGTTGCACTTGTATTTCTGGGTGCTTTGTCATCTGGAGACTTTATGCATTGGTCAGTCGTTCAATCCGGCTAGGAGGCACCTTTTTTAGACTCAGTGGGAGAGTGCTGCACTTGTATTTCTGAGTGCTGATGCAGTGGTCAGTCGTTCATTCCGGCTAGGAGGCAACTTTTTGATCTTTTTCAATCCTAGATGTCAACTTTCATGCAAATCGAACAGACGCGTTCCTAATGTCTTTCTTGTACTCAGTGGGAGAGTGTTGCACTTGTATCTATGGATGCTTTGTCATCTGGAGACTTTATGCATTGGTCAGTCGTTCAATCCGGCTAGGAGGCAGTTTTTTTGTTTTTAGCTCAGTTGCCTTCAATGCTTATGTAGTTTTTTGCCCAAATTGAACTCATTGGGAGAGTGTTGCACTTGTATTTCTGGATGCTTCGTCATCTGGAGACTTTATGCATTGGTCAGTCGTTCAATCCGGCTAGGAGGCAGTTTTTCTTTTTAGCTCAGTTGCCTTGAATGCTTATGCAGTGGTCAGTCGTTCAATCCGGCTAGGAGGCAGCTTTTTGAGATTTTTGCGAAATTTGTATTTCTGAATGCTTCACGCAGCGGCTAGGAAGCATCTTTTGTAGACTCAGTGGCAGAGTGCTGCACTTGTATTTCTGAGTGATTCGCAGTGGTCAGTCGTTCAATCCACCGTCAAGAAGGCGGCGACACAAAAAAAGGGCAATCTTCAAATGGAGAAGGGATAATTTCATTGCATAAGTTATTCATCGTAAAAGTACATTCAATTTGCTGCTACAGTTGCCGAGTGCGAGAGAAAAGTGAAATCGTGCTTTGCTCCTAAATGTCAAATGCCTGGCTCTTCCACCCCGCGTTGCGCTTCTCCATCGCCGACTTCTCGTCGACGGTGCGCTGGAACGAGCGCACCTGCCGCTTCCCCTCGCCGACCAAGCCCTGCACATGCCTCGTCACCGCCTGCGCCCCCTCCTTCGCCGCGTCCTTTGACCCCTCCGCCGCATTCTTCGCGTCCGTCTGGCCCTGGACTGTGTCCCCGACGCCCTTCTCGAGGCTCTCCGACGCGGTCCCCATCGGCCCACGCTTCTCCCCGCTCAACACTTGCGGCTCAGCGCCCATCGCAAACTTGGCCCCGCCGTCGACCTTGTCCTCGAGCACCACGCCCGTGCCCGTCGCGCGCCACCCCGAGCTGCGCTCGCGGCTCAAGCGCCCGATTTCGGACCACACCGCGCCGGCAAGCGCCGCCCCGCGGCTCGAGCCCGCATCCGCAAACACCTCCGCGCGCTGCCCCACGTCCCACGCCACGCTGTCCATCCATACCAGCCCTGCGCGCAGCTGCTCGCTCAGCGCGCGCCCGAGCGCCTCGCGGAAGCGCATATTGAAAATGGGCTTGAAAAGCGTAAGCATCACCGCGTGGTTACTCTCGCGCACGTTCAGCTCGACGTTGTCTGCGATCTGTACCGTGAGCAGCTCAATGTGGTGGTACGCGTGCTTCTTGGCGCGCTCCATCGCAGAGGGGACGAGCCGGACCTTAATGTCAACGTCAATGCCCTGCGGCGGCATCTTGAGCGCGAGAATCCCCGTAAACTCGCTCGGCGGGAGCGTCGCGTTCTTGTCCTTGTAGTAGAAGGAAACGTCCTCGAGGGCGAGCTGCACCGCCTGCAGCCGGATATGCGTGAATGTGCCGACGCCCGTGGTAGCCTGTGCAGTCTCCGACATGCGCACGTCGACGTCGGTGATGTTACGGATAAAGATGTGCGCAGGATTGAGTCCGAACGAGGAAATGTCGAGGTTCTCGAGCATAAGCTCCATGTCGTCATCCGCGTACTCGGTGCGCGGGATGGGGATATCCTTGAGCATCGAAAGGACGCGCGGGGCATACACCGCAAAGAGGTCGCGCCAAAACCACGACGCCCGCTCCAGCACTGCCTGCACGCCAGTCTCCGCCTCTTCGCCCGCCTCAATAAGCCCGCGCTCAACGTCCTCGCCTAGTTGAGTGTGGACTGCCCGCAGGCGTTCAACGTCAGCATCCCCCACCAGCGCGGCCCCAAACGACTGGACGGTGTCCTTGAGCTGTGTCCAGCTCCGGCCGGCATCGGTGTCCTCGTCGACCAGGGTGCAGGCGCGTTTACGCAGGTCGCGGCGTACGCCACGGGCCTCGTCAGAGCGGGGATAGTTCAGGTCGTCCAAGCTTCTGTGCGCGTGCTCAAATAACTTGTCGATCCACGCCTTTACTTCGACCGAGTCGCCGCGCACAGCGTCAACGAAGCGCCGGACCTTGTCGAGGACGGCGTCCACTGAGCTCTCTGGCTCGGCAAAGCGGTCGAGGAAGGTCTTGAGCGCGTTGAGCGCCTTGGGGATGTGCTGCTCGGCCGAAGAGTCCTGGACAAAGGTTTCGAAGGTGAGAGGCTGACCAGAGGCAGTGTCAAAGGCCTTGTTGACCCATTTGTGGAGAGTGTCGAAGACGGTGGAAAGGGCTGAGCGATACTCCGGGTCCTTTTGCGCACGCTCGCACGCCTGTATGACGGTGAATGGAAGAAGAAGACTGAGAATGAAACGCACCTTGTAATATGCATCCTGAAGACGCTCGGTGGTCCGGTTCGACAGGTCCTCGGTCTTCTCCTTCGCTGATTGACCTGCACCGATGACACCAGAGCCAGCGTCTTTCAAAGTATCCATGCCGTGCTCGAAAGCCACGCGCACATCCTGCTCCTGCTCGAGACGGTGCTTGTTGCGACCGAGATTGTCGCGCTGGCCGTCCTGGACACCCTGCTCGACGTTCCTGAGGCCGTCCTTGGCACGGCCGGCTCCGTCCTGTACGACCTCGGCAGCGTCGGCGAGGGCGAGGCGGGCAAAGGATGCAAAGTCGTTGAGAAGGAAACCGCCTTCAGAGGAGAGGCTCTGCCAGACGATGGAGAGGATGGTGCGCAGCGAGCTGCGAATGGCGTCAAGGTCAGAGGTGACTTCCTTCTTTTTGCGGGCAGCATCGGACGAGTCGATGGTGGTGTTGACGTCCCCTTCGGTGAGGTGCCAGACAGCTTCCTGCAGCAAATTGTCCTCTGAAAACCGTTGAGAAAAGCACAAGGGATGTAACGCGACACTCACTGTTTTTATTCGCATTGAGCGTTTTGTACGAATCGAGAACGTTGCGGATGTCATTTGCCAGGACGCGGCCCTGGCCACTGAGAGTGTCCTCGGATGGCTGGACAGCGGGGATTACAGCCTGCGTGAGCCAGTCGATGAACGCGTTGAGCTGCTCGGTGGAGGGGATTTTGCCGGCGTCGAGAGCGGCGGTGATTGAAGCGAGTTTATCCATTGAAGATGATGGTGGTAGGGAAGAAGGGGGAATTGGAAACAACTTTCAACTTAGACGCCTTATATATGTGAAGTTATAGGAGGTTTGTCGAGGTTTTCATGACGCGACGCGAGTGAGCATGGCATCGACTATGACGTCGTTCAACGTTAATGAACCTTTGGTTCCGTCGATCGATCTGGCGCCAAGTCTATCAGCGGAAATTGAAAGAGTTGAGATCCAAGACAGACATAGTGAAACTTGAAGCAAGTTTATTTCACAAGTTCAGCTGCGGAGTTTGGGTGGAACTGGAGCCGAGCCCTACCACCTTAATAAAGGCCCGAAATCTCGTCATGAGCACTGTGGTTCTGAGTAGTGTTCCCGATCTCACACGAAGATGAAGGAAAACGGAGGCTATTGACAACTTGAAGAACGGGGGAATTTGCACAGCAAGAACAAACAACCGCTCTCGACCAAATGAGGCAATTTTACCGTGTTGGGCCAGGAAAAGGACAAGAAAATGACCTGTCGAGAGAGAGAATTCAAGGAAACTTTTCTTTCAAGTGCAGGCACCGTAATCCTCAGGTTCAACTGCACACGAGTATCCTTTGTTTCAATTACCTAGGCACATTGGCGCTACTGAGTAATCGGCACTAGAGACATAAGAGGCTGAGATTGACGGGGGTGCATCCAATGGCGACAATCCCATTCCGAGTGAGTTTCAGGACTCAGGAATCGAGCTCGGATCAACTATGGATACTCGCGTAGCTGTTGTTCGTGCAGCACACCAATTGCTGGGAGCAAGAGGTACCGCCCGTGCCAATAACAGTGATGGGGCTGCAAGTAACGCCCATATGTAGTCGGCGAGAATTAAGTCACACAATTCAGAGCAGCTTGAAGGAAGGGACTCACACCAAGCCAGTGAGATCATCGACCACCATGCCAAGCAGGTCGAGGAGCAGGGATGCGACGGGATCGCTCGCCTGAATCACCGAGTCAGTTCGGAAGAAGGAGCGACAGGAGAAGCGTTCACTTGTTGAACTGAGCTGCAGCACTGCAGCAGGTTCGTATTATCACTGCATTGACCGTCGCCGTCACCACTACATCGAGGGTGTGCGCCAGTGTGACGTTGATGACCAGGGCATATCGAATGCCCATTGAATGCCCAAGAAACTTTCTGTTCTGCACTGACGGGGCGCCTTGGCGGAGTCGGATTTGTCGCCTGAATATTTTTCCGTAGTTGAATACTGTCTCGTTTTGGGCTTGTCAATTGCAGTGGGCAGAAGAGAAAAAGAAAAAGCGTGTAATTCTCATGTTCCGCCGGTGATTGCCGGTGATTGCCGGCCGAGTTCAACTCTTCCTTCCAGTGACACCCACCGTCTCTGTCTCTCCGCGGCC